AGAAGCTTTATTTGTAATAGCCACAAGCTGGAAACAGCCCAAATGCCCATCAGTTGAGGAATGGATACAGAAATTATGGTACATCTACACAATGGAATATTACTCAGCAATGAAAAACAAAGAAATCATGAAATGTGCATGTAAATGGTGAGTGAGGTATCCTGAGTGAGGTATCCCAGAAGCAGAAAGACACACAGGGTATATACTCACTCATAAGTAGATACTAGACATATAATATAGGATTAACATACTAAAATCTGTACACCTAAAGAAGCTAATCAGGAAGGAAGACTGTGGCTTAGATGCTCAATCCCCATTCAGAAAAACAAAGAGGATGGACATCAGAGGAGAAAACAGGGAACAAGCCAGAATCCTGCCACAGAGGGCCTCTGAAAGGTTCTACCCTGCAGGGTATTGAGGCAGATGGTGAGACTCATAGCCAAACTTTTGGCAGAGTACAGGGTATCTTATGAAAGAAGTGGAGATAGTAAGACCTGGAAAGGACAGGAGCTCCATAAGGACAGTAACAGATCCAAAAAGTCTGGGCACAGGGGTCTTTTCTGAAACTGATACTCCAGCCAAGGACCACTCATAGAGATGGCCTGGAACCCCTGCACAGAGGTAGCCTATGGCAGTTCAGTATCCAAGTGGCCTCCATAGTAATGGGGACAGGGACTGTCTCTGACATAAACTGATGGCCCTGCTCTTTGATCACCTCCCCCTGAGAAGGGAGCAGCCTTGCCAGGCCACAGAAGACAATGTAGCCACTCCTGATGAGACCTGATAGACTAGGGGCAGAGGTAAGAGGAGGACCTCCCTTTTCAGTGGACTGGGAGAGGGACACAGGTGGGGAAGAGGGAGGGTGTGATTGGGAGAGGAGAAGGGAGAGATGTACAGGGGGGATACAAAGTGAATAAACTGTAATTACTAAAATAAAAATAATTATATAAAAAATAAAACCAGTGGGGAGAAAAAAAATAAAGTTATGGTTAAAGGTGAAAAAAAAGGACGTATGGACATCACGTACATTCTTAGGAATATGTTTTAGCAACTCTACCCACTTATTTGATAACTAAGCTAGAACCTACCAATTCTTTGAAAGGCAAAGATCTGCAGAACTCACAAAAGTATAAGTAATTTAAGTTGATCTCAAACACTGGATGGGTAGCTCCCTGACAGAGCCTGTGCTTCATACCTGAGAAGTCTCATGCGCAATCCCCTGCAGCAAAACCAAAAGAAAAGAAAAACAAAACAAAACAATAAGAAGAAACCCCAATTAAACAAAAACTTCTAAGGCAGATGCCACCAACGCTGCCAAAAGGGTTCACTGATGAATTCTGTTAAACAGTTAAGCAGGGACTTGTATTATTTCTCTGTCATCTCCCACAGAAGACAGAAGCACAAGGAGTTACAGGAGAAGATCTGCATCGACCAGTAGCATTCAAAAGAGTACAGGTAAAAAGTTGAATACAATAACGTCTAAAAGTAATTTTATACTATAGTATAATCAGGACTTACTGCACTTTCACAAGGCCAATTCAACATTCAAAACTTATTCAATGTAGTGTGTGTCATGACAAGCTACAAAAAAATCAAATGGTCATAGTTTCAGATTAGGAAAGCATTTTACAAAAATGTCACAATAAGGACTCTAAGAAAATCAGAAACACGTGGAACTTCCACAATCTCAAAAAAATAAAAAGTTTCTAAATCCTACAACTAGCTTCTTTCTAAGATAAGAAGGCCTTTGTATTTGCTCACTGTACGTTTCGACATCATATTAGATGTTCTGGCCACTTCGATTAAAAAAAAAAAAAGAAAAACCAGGCATACAGATATGAAATGATTAAAACTCTCCTAATTCATAAACAGCAGAATAGCAAGTACAAAGTCTAAATGAGTCAATCAAAAGTATTTGGAACTGGCAAAGCTAGAGGGTACACATGCCCTTTGCTTTTTTTCTGTTCATTTGTGTGTGGAGGGGAGTAGGGGGGGGAAGGAAAGATCTCAATTTGTCTCAAGCAGGTATGCACATGCCCCAGCCATGGTACAGAAGACAGAAGACAGCTTTCCGGAATTGGTTCTCACCTTCTACCTCGTGGCTTTTAGAGGTTAAATTCAGGCCTGAGGCTTTGACTAAGAAGCACTTTTTACCTCCCGAGCCATTTCACTAACTCCCTTGCTTTATTGTATCACAGCATTCAACAATTAGAGTTTGGATTTCTAAGCATACCACCATTTACATACCCCAAAATCAGTTGGGCGTGATGGTGCACATCTGTAATCCAGCACTCAGGGAGGCAGAGGTAGGTAGGTGGATCTCTGAGTTCAAGGCTAGTCTGGTCTACAAAGGGAGTCCAGGACAACCAAGGCTTACACAGAGAAACTGTGTAAAAAAAAAAAAACAAAAAACCAAAACCAAAACTAACCAAACCAAAACCAAAACAACAACAACAAAAATGAAATGCTCAGGCACAAGTTTAACAAAATAGCTTTAAAAAATATAGGAAAAATCGCCTCTCAAATTGATAAAGCCTATATTCACGGGTAAAAGCATTCGATATTGTCAATAAATTCTATATTGATCTGTAGATTCAATGTAGTCCACTGCATATCACAGCAAGCTCTAAGGCAAGTTCTCCTTCTCCTCCCCTCCTTCTCCCCCCTCCCCCTTTTCTTTCTCTCTGTAAACTAGAGACCATTCAAAACCTCCAGTGGTGTTTCTCTCCCTGTAGGCCAAAGAACATTCAAAGCATCCAACGTTGCTTCTCAGGTACTGTCTACTTTTTTTTTTTCCCCAACAGAGTTGTTACTAGCTTAGAAATAAAACTACCACACAGGCTATATTGGCTGCCTAGCTAGTTCCAGAACTCTGCATATCTCTGGCTCCCCAGTGGCATCTCTCTCTCTGTGTCTCTCTGTTTCTCTTTCTTTCTTTAAAATATGAGTTTTAGGATTAAACACAGGCCCTCAAGCATTTTACAGACCTAGCTATCACTATTATCCTTAGGACTCAGTCTTACATTTTATATTAAAAAGTGAAAGACCCAATGAGTCACAGTTCATCCAGGGTAGCCATTACAATATTGAAGAGAAATGTAAAACAGAGCTTGAAAGCACTTGACTTCTAGAATTAGAATAAACCCCAGCTATCAAGATAGTGTGATCCCTGTGAAAGTACAGAGAAAAAGGACAATGGAGCAGAGTGGAGAAGCAGAAACAGTAGTTATGAAGAGTCAAACTATCTTTGGTAAAAGAGCAAGGTAATGCAATGGAGAAAATAATGTTTTCTATTAATGTATACATGTATGTTGAAGTAGACACACATGTATACACTTGGAAGAACTCTCCCAACACCGAGAGCAGCAAATGGAGCAGCACCGAGAGCTGGAATGGACACAGAGCAACAGGAGCCCTGATTCAGTGTTAATTGGAATGAGAAATTGTGTGGTAAATGTAGTAGACAGCGGGGCAAGTTTTCTGTTGTTCTCGCACTGTTGGGGACTGAAACTCTGGTCTCATGCCTCCCGGGCACACATCCCATGGCTAAGCCAGGCAGTCTCTCACAAAACTTAACGTAGCCATCATGCCACAATTCAGCAACAGTATTGTCAACATTCACTCAAATGAACTGAAACCACATGTGCACACAAAACCCCATACACTTGCATACAGATTATAACAATTTTATTAATAATTGTCCCAATGGGGAAGTAACCAAGATTTTTTTTTCAGTTAGTAAAATGAAAACAACAGTGAAACATCAAGATAATACTGTTCTATCCAGTGCTAAAAACAAATGAGTTACCCAGCTATGAAAATACATGAAAAATAATATACATTCACATTACTATGTGAAATAAACCAATCATAAAGTTTACATACTATATGAATCTATGAAACATTCTATATACATAATTATGAAAACAGTTATGGATCCTTGGTTTCCAGAGATTTGGAGAAGGCATTGATGAAAAGATGGAGTGAAATGATTTTTTAAAGACACATGGCAGACACATAAAATATTTGCCAAAACCTAAAGGATGTGCAACACCAAGAGAGCTTACTAAAGTACACAGAGCTGGAGTGACAATGATTTACCAACATAAATTCATCAACTGTAACAAATGACCATGTGATAGGTAATGATAACAGAGGAGCTGGGGTTCAACCCATGTGGATTCAGAATCTAGAGACCACTGCCTTTTCCATGCAATATTACTGAGAACCCCAAACTGCTTTAACACACCTCCCCCAGGCTCATGCAAGCAGCCCTAATCAAACTTAGTGGATTACAAAAAAAAAAACAACAACAAAAAACAACAACAAAAAAAAAACACAACAACAACAACAAAACAATTCAAAACAAAACAAAACAAAAAGACAGCGATGTAGGTGTGAAACTATCTGGGGAAAAAGGAGTTCAATGTGAGGTGAATGAAAGTGGGTAACGGGAGATGAAGAAAACCAAAATACATGCATTTGAATGTATGAGACTTCTCAAAAATAAAATTACAAAAGATGTCAGGCATTTGACGAACTTAAAAACGGAGATTATAACATTTAGCAAACATCTCTAGTAATTACACTTTTTTAAGGACAGTTCTATTTTCAAACTGACAAAGACAGCTACAGAATCTCCAATACAACTTACTGTTGACTATTTGGAGATTAAGTTCTAGTAGTACACGCAGAAATCAATGGTAAATATAAAGTCAATCAAGTTTTGAATCAACATTTTTACTTTTGCTTGAGGAAAAATGTCAACAGAGATTACTGTCTTAAGATTTCATTCCTTTCTATGCCTCGCTCTTTGAAAAGTGTGGGATGCTTTTTCTTGGGGATTATTTCCAAACAAATGCCAGCAGGTATAAGAGCATGGTGAGGTATTCCAGATCTGGGCTTCCTCCCAAAGAAATGGCCAAGAAAATTAAATTGCCTTCAAATAGGGTTGTTGAAGGCCATGCTACAGAATCAGGGAGCCTTGTCTCTGCTTGCACTTAGGTGTGCCTATAACTGTGCCTTCTGTGGGATCTGTATGACTCACTGTGGTGCCTGGAAGGGTAAGAGGAAGCTTCCCTTACCCTGCGGATGGGGCCCGGCCTATGTTCACGAACAGATGAGGTGGTATCCCTGGAATATCCATGCCTGTGCCTCGGGTAATCTCTGTGCCTGAAGGATGTGGAGGGGGCCACACGGTCCTCTCTGTGGCTGGGCAGGTATTGAGGGTAGGAGGAAGATCTCTGAGGGCTGTGGTGGTGGTACCTGGGAGAGGGAGGGTGCCTGGGCACAACGGGTTCATGCCGCTCACATTGGTGGTAGTCTTGAGGCTGTCTTCTGTCTGACCAGTATGGCTGTCTCTCAGCAGGAACATCCCTGATCCACCTGCCCACGGGGTTGCGTGCTGGAAGGATCACACCCCAGGCGTCTGCCACGTGTGCCAGTAGCAGCTGTGAGAGGTGGCGGTGTGCGCGCTCATCCCAGTGCACGCCATCCCTCAGCCGATGCTGGCCTGCATGGCGGAAGTGGAAGTGGAGATCCAGCACATCGAAGCCACGCCTCATCGCCTCCGCTGAGCTGTAGAAGTTGGCTACCACCACGTCTTCACGTAGGCGTGAGGGGCAGGCCGGAGCATTAGGCCGCAGGAAACCCCCGGATACAACCTCGGCTACGGGCATGGTGGTATTCCACACCAGGAGGCAGGAGGTGGGCAGCACCTGATCCAGGCGCTGGAACAGCCTCTCCAGGTCTTTTCGGTAGCTCCGGAAGAAATTGTTCCCGTACCTGGACAGGTCCCAGAGGCACGAGTTGACGACCACCAAGTCGGGGGTGTAATCGCCCCAGTGCAGCTGCTGGAGGATGTCCTCGACGTAGGGCGAGTAGGCGCGCGTGAGGAAGTAGAAGCGAACCAAGTGGCGTCCGGAGCAGAACTGGCGAACCTCGCGGTAGTGGGTGCCGTTGTGCAAGCCGCCCCACCTGCCGCCCTCCAGCAGCACGTCCTGTTCGAAGCTCAGCTCGCCCTTGCTCTTGAGCTGACTGGAAGACAGCAGGCAGTCCTTCTGGAGCAGGAGCACCAGGTCCTTGTACACGGCGCGCTGGATGGAGTCCCCCAAGACGACGACGAACTTGTTGTGCAAAAGCTGCTGGACTTCGCGGGCGCGGAGGTGGGGCATGATGACTTCCTGCTGGGAAGCCTTGGGAGGAAACTGAGGGGTGGGGTGGGGTGGGGTGGGGTGCGGCGGGGGGGAGGAGGCGAGGAACCTCGCGGAGAGGCGCCCGGCACTGCTGCCTCTGGGCCGTGGTGGAGCCGAGGGCAGAGGGCTCCGGTGGTCCAAAGCTGCCTCATCCGGTTCCACGGCCCACGGTGTGACCTCTGAACCCTGGGGCTCCACCTGGCGGAGGAGACGGGCTGCAGCCCCCACGGGAAGCCTCGGCCCCCAGCTCGGGGGAGCAGGCCCTGCTCCTGGGGCTGGCGCGGCGTTGGCCCGGGCCTCTGCCAGCCTCACGCGTTCCCCTCCACCGGCGGCGTCTCACCTGTCCACGCCGGCCTCCCAGTGCCTCGATGCGTACTCGCCGTTCTTTCCTTCGCCGCAGTCCTCGTTCCAGTCGAGGATTTCCTCACGGTGATTCCATTGGAAGGTGGGGTAGAGGGCAGAACCCAGCCTGGCACTCCTTCGTCTACTGGCCGGGACGGCATTCCGAGCCACGATTGGCAGAACACACGGGTGGGTTGTGGGACACGGTGAGGAGGGTCGACACGAACCTCTCACCCGCTTCCCCGTGAACTCGAAATCTTGAAGGACTGTGCTACCTTTTTACCGAGGCGTGCCGGCCGTCTCCACACCGCACATTACTTCGTGCTTCCATCAGCTTCTTGTCTCCTTTCACTGTCCCGTGCCCTGATTCCTGGTAACCACGGAAGCACGTCTGCATTTACACAATTTGCCATTTCAGGAATTCTGTGCAGGTGGACTCGTACAGCGTGTGGCCTTGGGAAACTGTCCCCACTCCCACCCCTGCATTGTTTGTGTAGGTCTGCATTTTTTTTTAACATTTGAAATAACAATTTTAAAATTTGAAATACAGCCAGCCATTGTAATGCTGTCAGGTGGTTGTACGGATAAAGCTTTACGTATGAGATGCCTAGATTATCTGGTGTGGTTCATGCATGTAGTCCCAACATTCAGGAAGAAGAGACAAGAGGATGGTGAGTTTGGGCCCTGCCTGGGCTATTTAGCACATGCTGGAACTTATTATCAAAAGTGAAAGGAACACAAAAATCTCAAATTGGTTTCTGAGGTGAATAATGATTTTAATTTCTTAATGGTTTGCCACTTGCATAGCCTGAATATGTGAAACCTCAAATCTTTCATATTCTTACTTAAGCAGCTCTGACCCTACGGAGTCAAGAGAGAGAGAGAGAGAGAGATTTTTCTTTTTCCTATGGGTGCCCTCATGGAGGCTATTAAGCCCCATGGAATTTGCTTTAAAATTCCTGTGTCACTGGGTTATCTTAGGCCCTTTAACAGGTGTTTGGGAAACCCAGTGACATAGTGTTTCACTTGGGAGCCAAGAGAAACCAGAGACTTCAGGCACTTACCTGGCTACGTATGTGGAGAACTGTTAGGTTTGGTTTTGAAGTCGAAAGTCAAGTTTTGAAACCACCATTTTCTCCCGTGTTCGTGAAGGCTGGAAATAAAAGGAAAAACATTTTACCTGTCCAGTGTGATTGTATCAGTAAAAATGTTCTCTGCCGGTTTTGTCAGCTGTAACCTCCGAGGACCTCACGAATTTCCTCACACCATTTCAGGGTATTTTGACCCATGCTTATCATACTCTGTTTTCTCCAGTGAACATCTGGTACTTTTTCTTCCAGTGTTTTCTCAAATGTTCATCAAAATCTCCTTAGTTTTTCAGCACAGCAGTTCTTCCTCTAAAAAATTTGTATGTGATTTCAGTGTGACCAGGAACATTGAAGAATTGTTTTTGTCTGCCATTTACAAGTGACTCAGTTTGCTTATGTTTTTGCTATAGAGATATGCCTCTTGCACATTTAATCTCACTTGGCTAAAATTGTTGTCTCTAAGGTGCTTGGTGGTAGTTTAGGAAGCAGGGAAATAAACACTTTCTAAGGTAATTTTCACATTATGGTAATGTATGACTTTATGAATTTATGAGTAGAAAGTTAAAACAATAACCTTTAGACATTATTTTTGTATAATATGGAAAAATATTTCTTATCCTAATATTCTTTTAAAATGACTCTCTAGATATCTCCTTGTACTTTGGCTAAGCACACTCATTTAAAAAAAGAATAAAAATTAAGTCCATAAGCTATTTGTGTTTGTGTATAATTTGGATCTATGCTTTATTTGGTTTTCTTCCTCTTATCTTTGAGGAGTCTACCATAACAATACTTATTTTATTTTTTTCCCAAAAATAGATTTGGTCAAATGTTAATATTAGTGTATTTTGACTCCTATTCCATGAAATATAAATTTTAAATTAAATATCAACACTTAAACTTTTTTCTTCCTCACTAAATGAAGTTGATGGCATATCCAGTTGGTGAGATAAATCTTTCTTGAGGTGGACAGGAAATATAGATTAATACATTTCTTTCTCTACCGAAATAAATAATGTAAGATCATAAAAAAAGAGCCGAAACAGAGTATTAAAAGTTTTGGCTGGAAAGAGACAATTGTATAGATAGAAGATATATAGCCACACCCATGGATATTCTAAGCCAAGAATATTAGATTTTAGCAGAGTCAGATTTTAATTTTTACTGTAATAGTTTCACTGTTAAGCTCTTCGGAGTTTAGAAAACCATTCTGGTTGTAGGAATTAAGAGTTAGCCATATAGATGGCAAGAAATGTGTGAAAGAAAAATGCAGACCTTAGGAAGGCACAAGGACCAAAAATGTTGATATGGTTAAAATTAAGAGATGCCCTCATTAGCTGGAGCAGCCTTTGCTGACTTTCCTAGCCCTGCCTTCTTCCCCTCTTGCCAAGAGTTTTCATACCCTGCTTTTTTATTATTATTATTATTATTATTATTATTATTATTATTATTATTATTATTTAACAATCCTTTACTGGCACATCACATTTTGTTACTATTTTATATTATCTTTGTTTTTTTACTTTTTGATTTTCAGTTTTTCAAGACAGGGTTTCTCTCTTGTAGCCTTGGCTGTCTTGGACTCAGTTTATAGACCAGGCTGTCCTTGAACTCACAGAGTGAATTCACAGAGGCAGAGGCAGCCTCTGCCTCCTGGACTGCTGGGATTAGAGGCTATTATTATTCACCTTCCTGTTACCATTTTCTTTTTATTTATTATATTAATTACAGTTTATCAACTTTGTAACCCAGCTGTAGCCCCCTCTCAAATTCCCTCCCAATCTTACTATCCCTCCTTTATCTCTTCCCTGCCCCTCTCTATGCCCACTGATAGGCGAGGTCCTCCTCTTCCATCTGACCCTAGCCTATCAGGTCTCATCGGGCCTGGCTGCATTGTTTTCCTCTGTGTCCTGGTAAGGTTTGTTTTCATTTTCTTATTCCATCAGATTTAAACCCTAGAGAAAAATGACTTGTTTCCATTTGTTCATGTTTTCTCAGCTTTTAAAATGATGTTGACTATGTAGCAGATACGTCAATAAATGCATGTATGATGAAACAATAACCCGTGGAAATTCATTATTGGAAGAGATCATTAAAAACTTTCCAGAAGGAAAGAGATGAGGACCTCTCCTATCAGTGGACTTGGGGAGGGACATGAGTGGAGAAGGGGGAGGGATGGTGGGATTGGGAGGGGAGGTTGGGAGAGAGCTACAGGGGGGATACAAAATATAAATATATCAACAATTTTTATATAAAATTTTATATAAAAGATATCAAAAACTGCCTTAAAATCTATGTAATATTTGCATTGCATAATGCTTCTGCTATAGAGCCATCCAGTCTGTGTCCTCACACTGATTCATATGTCATAGTACTGGGGACGTGCTTTTCCTGGGGGTCTGTTCTGTCCTCAGGAAACATCAGCACAGCGTGCCTGAACGCCTATGTGCTATGCTGTTGAGATACTGTCTTGAAGAAGAAAGGAAGGAAAGGAAGGAGAGGGCGATGGAAAAAAGAAAGGGAAGCAAGAAAGGGTAGAAAGGGGAAAGAAAACTGGACTGTTAAAGTCTTTGCTATTTTTTTTTTTTTTTTGAGGGGTTGAGTGTCTTCCTTTATTGATTTGCACGTTTTCATTGCGTTGGTTTTTTGAGACATGATTTCTCTGTGTCACCCTGGTTGTCTGAAACTGGCTCTGTAGACCAGGCCGGCCTCCAACTCATAGAGATCCTCCTGCTTCCGCTTCCCCAGTGCTGGGATTATAAAGGCATGCGCCATCCCCGCCTGGCTATGTCTCTGTATTTTTTAATACCCTGTTTTGAGATATTAGAGGACCGTCATAATTTTTCTCCCATGTGGCTGTCTTAAATGTTATTTGAATGCTGTTACTCTCTTTGTGTCCTTTTTATGTTGGCCCAAAATCTCTTCAGTCATTTCCAATGCCGAGGCATGATTCCCACTGTGTGTCAGCATAGGGCTATGTGCTCCATGAGCACAATGGTAGGTGATGCAGAAGTATGTCAACATGCCAGAACAAGTGGTAATTATATGGACACTTGTGAGACAGTGCTCCTCTTCTCTCCCAAAGGGACCCACTTTTTCTCTCTTTCCTCATAATATTTTTATTGATTATTTGGGAATTTCACATCATGAGCTCTGAACATTAAACAGGTTTACTTTCTAGTCTTTTCAGGTCCTCCCTACCACCCTTGGGATCTTCCCCTGTAAAAAATTAAAAAAAAAAAAAAAAAAAAAAAGGAGGGAAAGAAGGAAACAAACAAACAAAACCCCTACAAGCCCAGTCTGTGTTGCCCATATCCTCGCTGGCCCATGGTCAGACTCCCAGGGGCCAGTCGCCCCTTAAGGAAAACTGAGTCCTTTTCTACCTTCTCCCCTTCCAGAAACCATCAGTTGTGGAGAACTACAATTTAAGCCAGGCGTGGTGGTACATGCCTGTAATAATCCCAGCCCTCAGGGAAGCAGAGGCAGTCCCATCTCAGTGAGTTCGAGGCCAGCCTGAGTCCAGGAAAGCTAAGGAAGGCTACACAAAGA